TACCCATTAAAAAATGGGGAGGGTGGTACCCATGGGGAATGGGGAATGGGGAATGGGGAAAATTTATTATAGGGGAATGGGGATGGGGAATTAATATCCACCCCATTGCCCCCCATTGCCATTCCTAAATTTAACCGGATTAAATTAGTTAGAAAGAATTTTTAATTTTTTTTATTTAAATGTGATAGTTATAAGAGAAAAAATAAAATGATTATGATTTAAATATAATATTTTATTTTATTAGCTAAATTAGCCTTTTTTTTATCATATTGTACTTATTTAGTCAGTTTAGCTTTTACCAAACAAGGCCATAATGTGTGATTATTTACATTGATTTAAATTTAGAAAGGACTATCGCTAATAATGATCAGTGTTATGAATATTGAAAATCTCAATTAGTATCAAATAAAATATTCGCATCTCTATATATGTAAATATTTTATTTGCATTTATAGAGAATGAACATTTTGTTTTACATTGGTGATTTTAGTGTCCATATACTTTGTCAATAATAATGCATGAAATAATAAAATTTTTATGATACATAAACATAGTGTTTTATTGAAAATTATAATGGTTGTGCCTAATTAGCTTTATAAGTAAATTATAATAATCTCAATTAAGATTTTTAAAAAATACAAATAAGTTTAATAATTTTACTATAATTATATCATGTTTTTTTCAAAGACTAATACAACAAAAAGTAACATAAATAGTGCGAAAATGAAAGGGCACAACTTGCCTTTTAGTTCACTTTGTGAATTGAGCCGTATTGTTTGGTCCCATTTGACTTCTCTTGCTATTTTAAATTGTACATTTTTTAAATTATAACGTTATCAATCATCTATAAAAAAAAAATAATAATAATAAAATTAATCTGATAATCATAACCTTACCAGGTTATTATATTTGTTTATCAAAAAATAAATTTTTAAATAATTTCTATAATTTTATTTATTTAATTGTTTGAAAATAAATGTTATGAATTGAGGTAACTATGATTATCATATCGATTTATTTTATTTTATTTTTATAAATAATCTACACATTATGATTACAAAATGAATGATTTAAATAATTAAGATGAGACCTGTGACGAGTAGAGTTCTATGAACAAAAATACATCGATTCAATCCACAAAGTAGAGACAAGTTACAGATAAAATAAAATAACAAATTTTTCTTTAGACAAGAATGACAAGGTACACGCTAAGGTTTGGTTTGGGAAGTGGGTTGGCTTTTTGGCTTTTTGGCTTTTTTGGCTATTTTAGCCTGGGCTAAAAAGCTTGGTTTGCTTTTTGGCTTTTTTGACTTTTTTTGTGAGAGAAGAATGTAATGATTATGGGTTGGATGTGATGTTTTGTTTGTTATGGCTAAAATAGCCTATTTTGTTTTTTGTGGCTAAAATAGCCAAAAAAGCCTGAAAACTAACTTGCCAAACAGAGGCTAAAGTCTCGTTTGAAGGCTAAGTATTTTAATTAAAAAATTATTATAAATTATCATATTATTCTTTTTAAAATTTTACACATTGCTTTATAAAAAATAAAATATTATTCAAATAATGTGGTCCCACCCCAGCCCACAGAGGACGATAACGCTATAAATGTGCGAAATGAAGTCGAAATGGAGTTCCCACCGAGTTTTGACGCAGCCAGCCAACAGCTTAGCAGCCATCATTCAACATTCTATTACTCTCGTCTCTTCACTGTAATATATATATATATATATATTCGAGAGAGGGAGAGAGGTGTTTAGGGCGGGTGTTGTTCGTAAAAAGAGTTTTGAATTGAAGGGTTAACAGGAGGAGTTGATCGGGGCCAGGACAAGAAAGTTATGATCTGGGATTTAACGATTGCAGGGAAGAAGAGGGACAAGAGGATACAATTAGAATCAGAGTTAGAATCAAAAGAAGAAGAATCGAAAGAAGAAGAATGGTAAATTGTTACAGTGTGAGGTGGGTGTTGGTGCTGGGGTTTCTGACGGCGTCGTTGCTGGTGTTGCCACCAATTCTGCCGCCTCTGCCGCCACCACCAATGATGTTGATGCTGTTTCCGGTGGGGATAATGCTCCTTCTCATGTTCTTGGCCTTCTCTCCTCCTGATGCCAATCCCAACGCCAACATTCTCCTTTTTACTACTCTCTGACAAATATATATATGTCGAAAGATGTTTGGTAATCTAAATTTGTATAGTTCGAATGGTTTAAATGTGTCAAAATGACGTCATTTTATACCAAAACGATATGATTTTAACACATTCAAACTATTCGAGTCATGAAAATTTGGACCACCTAACATTGTTGATATATGTTTGTTTCCCATCCCATTTCTATTGCTATTAACAACTTCATTGTTTCGCCCTCTAAGATTCACATCCCAATACAATGCTTGCTTCTTTCATTTCTCTTCTATGTTGTCTATTCATTTTATGCTTTGAGACTTTTAACCAAACAATTCAAAATCTAATGTTTTAATTTCATCAATCCAAAATTTTAATTTATTTTTAATTTAAATTATTTATCTATGTTTGTTAAACAAAGTTGTTAGAAAAAGTGTAAGTAGTTATTAAATTCAATAAAAATGATTATTTTTGACATTTTTTTATGCATGTATTGAATTTAATGATTAAAATTTTTTTTTATCAATTTTATTTAATAGAGATAAAGTGAATGATTTAGATTAAAAATAAATGAAAATATTAGGATTTAAATTTATAAAATAAAATATTCAAAATTAAATTTATGTGACAAAGCTCAAAGCTTTAATTTTTCCCTTTTTTTTTATACATATAATTTTTTTTAATGACTAAAATACCTTTAATTTTTCTCAATTTGGGGATTAAATTTCTCTATTTTCAAGATGAAATTCTTCATTTTGGGGTTGAAATTTGTTGGTTTGGGATGTAATTTTAAAGTATTAGATTAGAATTTCTCATTTCTCAAAACTAATTTTTTTTTCAATGGGGTTAAATTCATTTTATCCTCTTATGATTTGAGACTAGAGCAGTATATCCTCTATGGTTCAAATATAGTACGAAAGCGCCCATATGAATTTGGACTAAAGTATTATCGTTAGTTTTTTATCAAAACTAACAAAATGTGTATTACACATACACTCACCATTTTTTAGGGTGCATTTGGTTTTTTTGAAAAATTAAAGTGAAATTAATACAATAAAAAAATAATTTTACCTGCATTTTGTTTTCTAAATCTAAACTAAGATTAATATGTTAATTAAAAAAATAAAATAAATTAAAGACATAATTAAGAATTGATCTAAAATATAAAATATATTTAAGAATTGATTTAAAATATAATTAAATATGAATATATAATTAAGAATTGAACTAAAATATAAATAAATTGAAATTAGGTTAATATGTTAGGAATTATAATAAATAATTAATAATTTAGAGTTAACTGTGATATAAAAATAATTAAATTAAAATTAAAATAAAAAATTAAGAATTTATAAATAATTGTGATTTAATTGAACTAATATTAGACATTATAAATTGTGTATATGAAAGAGGAGAAAGAAAGAAAGAAAGAAAAAAAATATAGAGTTTGAGAATATTATGGTCATTTATATGTATAGTCAACGGTATTATTGGTTTCACTTTGATCCAAAATCACATTGGGATTTTCTAACTATATTTAACGGATAAAATGTTTTGACCTCAAATCACAAGAAGATAAAATAAACTTTGCCTTTCTGAATTTTATGATTAAATTTCATAGTTTTTGGGATGAAATTTTTCTTTTTCTTAAAACTAAGAAATTTCTTAATTTGTAAAATTGAAAATTTTAATTTTTTATGACAAATTATCAATTTAGGATTAAATTTATCAGTTTTAGGCACTAAAATTTTCTTTTTGGAGTGAAAATTTGTCAATATTGGTTGTAATTTTAAAGTATATGGTTGAAATTTCTCATTTTTACAATACAAAACTAGGAAAATTTTCACTGTTGTGAAACTAAAATTTTTTAGATGAAATTTCAGAATTTCGTCACAATTTCTTGTCTTGGTATTAAGTTTCTCATCACAATTCTTATTTTGGAGATTAAATTTCTTAGTTTTTGACTAAATTTTCTTAGTTTTGGCATGTAATTTCATTGATTTAGGTAGATAGTTTTGTGAAACTAAGAATTTTGGGACGCAATCTTATAATTTCATTTCAAATTTTTGGATGAATTTTCTTAGGCTTGGATTAGTTTTTCTCATTTGAGATAAGATATTTCTCAATTCTTAAAACAGGCTTAGTTGTTCCATACACTATTTTTGTTAGGCAACAGCTGGCTGCGTTATTTTTAGTTTGAAAAGTAGGTTAAAAACTTGTGTGTGTAAAAAATATGAGAGATAATATAACCCAAAATGAATTAAAAATTAAAAATTAAAAATTAGCTTTTTATTGGCTTCCATATGGCACTTCGTCATCTTGAATCTCAAAAAACTAATAATTCAATAAATTGACTATGACCTCGTTTGACAAGTGGTGATTTCAGCTAAAAAACTACTAAAAAAACTAAAAAATCAGTAACTTATACTAAAAAGTCAAAAATTCTCTTTTCTCTTTACTTTTTGCATATCTTTTCGTAAAAACCAAAAAAACCATCCCAAACATACTAATTTTTTTTTACATCATATTTTAGTCAAAAAATTAAAAAATTACTTAAAGAGTCTGCTCCCAAACGAGACCTAAAACTTGCTTTGGCTTGGCTGCTAAGCCAATCTTGACATAATTGGTTCTCTGACTTCCCAGATTTATTTGCTTTCCATAGCTGATTGTAGACCCATTAAGAATTTAAAAACATTTTCTGTTTTTCAAATCAAACTTAAGTCAACTTCTTTCGATTTGAGTTCAGCATTCAATTAGGTATGTCTTGTTTGAAAGTTGACTCTCTTGTATGTGAGCAAACTCATTTTTTTCACATGGTTTAATCTTGAAGCACTTCTTCATCTCTGAAATTTACAAATAACTTAAAAGCCAGAAACAACTAGAATAGCTTCTAAGCAGTGCATCCTCAACTCCTTCACCTTGCATAAAACATCCCAACTATTCACATAATTATATGGAAATACAAAATTTGACTACTACTTAACAGAATAGAACAGTTCAGCAAAAAAGTGTGTTCCTAAATTGCATATCCTCCTCCTACAACAAACCTCAATTGCTTCAACATGGCCATTAATCAAATCCATCCAGCAAAGTGGTGAACTTGTCACATCTGATTATCAATTATATCCCGCATCATCTGTATTGGGATGAGTCCTTCGGTTCGGATTGCATCTTTATTTGGATCTGGACTGATGAAATACAACGTTGGCAACCCCCGGACCTGGAACATAATAATATTTTACTACGGTTTCTTTCTACTTTCAAAATTCCAGTTCTAAGTCCTAAAGGAACATAGACAAGTAAGATATTTGTGGAGGATCCTCCATTCAACACAATAAGAGTAATTTCCTGGAGAGAGCTCTATCAATTCCATTACCTTATCCTTGCCCAAGAGGTTCCGTAGTAATAGTTTCAAACAAAAACAACTTCTCTATGATCCAATCTTAAAAATTCTATATAAAATATTAGATGCCATCACGGACTCGAAATGTATTTGAAAATTGCACTTAATAACAAAGTATGAGTTTTCTGCCAAAAAATAATATTGATAAGGACAAACAGAGCCAAACGCTAACCTGCATATCACGTGCAAATTCATATTCATCATCCGTGTCAACCTTCACAATTATTGCATTGCTCTCGTACTCTACAGCAAGCTGTGGGATAAATTTAAAGTCAAAAGATATTAAAGAGATTTGCAAAAACCATGAATTCAATTAATCTGCTTCAAGAAAATTAGGTTCCGCTTGCTCATTTAGAATACTTCGCACTTAGATTGAATAGATTCGGAAAATAGTTACAGAACAATTAAATTATGTTGGTTAACGACAAAATTCAATGGTTCACCAAAAAAGAAAAAAAAAGAATCTCCTTTTCTCTTTATTTCTCAATTAAGGCTTTGGGTGTTGGTTGGTGCTTTGCCAAGGATGGAGATATTTTCTCTTATAGGTGCTAATGTAACAACTAACAACTAACATTTGCCAATAAAAAAAAAAAAAAAAGTAGTTTTCCAAAGTACGGTGGACTTACATGCTTCAGCCTTGTAACATTATGCGTATCCATCAATAATTAATGAACAATCCAACAAGCACCTATAAGCTTCTCTCCCATTAATTCAGCCAAAACAATGAATACTAATCAAACATCAGTGGAGCTAAGGCGCTTCACTTGTTTCAGAAAGAGTCGACTCGGGCAGTGTTTTGATAATGGATTTGCATAGGGATTTGGAAAGGGACAAGAAGAGGTGAATGAAGTGAAGAAAAAATTTAGCTTATATTTTCTTCACATTTCCCTTGCCTTTTTCTTTCCCTTTCCAAATCCCTATCCAAATCCATGATCCAAACATAGCCTGAAGGAAAATTATTTGCAAGTTGTTTCCACTATCAACGAGATATACCTTACCTAAAATCATATTCAATATCAAAATTTATGATTAATTTAAAATAATAATAATAATATTATGCAGGAAGTTCTATCGAACTGGACTTACTATTACTTATGTGATGATGACTGTCACTTTGACGGGATTTTAATTGCAACAAATGGAGCACAAGGAAAAAAGTAGATTTAACAAAACACTCCTCAAAACTTACTGATTGAATTTGGAATTAAAGAATGATGCAAGTAAGCAAGAAGGGCATAAACCAATTTAAGGAAAAAAAAAGCCTCAAAATACAGAGAAAAGCAAACTACCCTTGTGCATAAGCATTCATTTTGAAGACGATTATACACCACCCAACCTTGTAGAAAACCCCTCATTCTATCAATAAGAGAACAATCAATAGCAGAGTTACAACTCATTCTTCCGAGGACTACTGTGTATGTTTCAATGCAGAGATTTCTTAAAGCAAACATTTGAAATTCTCACTTACATTAAAATATGAGCATATGAATGCTCAAAGTTGTGCATGAAATATCATGATTAGATTGATATTTTTTTTATGAAAAATGCCTAAGATAGTTGCGATAACTCACTCAAGAGTCAACTTGGAGAAAATGGGAAATTTCAACTTGCATCTAGTGATGTGTGCCATTTGGTGGGGCCACCCCAACCCACTGTGTAGTGTCATCATCTTAGGCGGGAAGCGTGGTGCAAGCCGGATGATGCAGCCGGGCTTGACCAAAACAAAAAGGGAGGTCGGTTGGGTCTCTGTCATTTCATTTTAAAACATACACTCTATCTCTAACCTCTAAAAAAGAGGCTTTCCACTTGTGATTTCAATTTTCCCTCTGAACTCTAAAATCAATCAATGGCCTTTCATTCTCAAAATTTCCTAACACACCTGAAGACAACAATTCTTCAAGCCATCATTCAGATTCCTGCAGTATACAAAGGTTGGGGATGCCCCAATACATCCCAGTGCAGAGCAGCTACGATGAACATATCCCACTACACGAATCGGAGAAACATCTCTCAAGGCTTGCTTTAGAAGGCGAGTAATGTTACAATGACCATCTCCTTTTAGCACATTTTATTTATCACACACAAATTAGTTGGATATTAATGACATTCGTGTAGAGTCCTAGGGCCATTGTTGTCATTACTACCCAAATAATGTGTGTGCTGCATCAGATGATAAATAAAATGTGGTAAAAAAATGGTCATTGTAGCATTAGTCTTAGAGGGCATGGTAAGGGTTAGAATAACTCATTTTGATTTTTCTCTTGATCAGGATGCGTATGTGCTTTGCGTGTTATTTGTCCCTTGAAAATTTGGAATATGCATGCATTCAAACATGATATCGTCTCACTTGTGCAATGTGTGTGCTCTAGGTGTGTGTGAAATGTTTAGCTTGTGATATGGTACAGTGCTAATGCCATGCTCATGTTACTACATTTGCTAAGAGATCAGTTACGAATGAAATTGCTCATGCATATGCCATGGTCACACTTAGGAAATGATGTTGATAATCATGTTATTAAAATGATAATGGATAGTGTTCACCAATTTTTCATGCAAATGCCTCAACTAATTCTCCTTTGTTTATCTAGTCCAAGGATCGTCCACGGAAGCACGTCCATCACAAGATATTTGTAGAGGTGGTTTGGGAACTTACCACAGGAGGCCTAAAGGCATGTGATCAACGTCGGATTAGGTGATTTGGTTCAACTTCTTGAGCTCACCAACAAGGACCAAATTCAATTGGATGCCTTAGCAGAATGATGGTGGGACTCTACGAACACCTTTCACTTCCCCTTTACCGAGATGACATTAGCTCCCTACGACTTTGCTATAATCATCGGGATATGGGTAGCTAGAGAATCTATCCTTGTCAACCTCGACATTCACACAAATCCCGAGACTTTAAAGTTCTACCTAGGTGAGGTGCCACCAATGGATGACGTAGATTCGGTAAAGCATTCTTGGTTTCAGAGAACTTTTTTGACAATTATGCATGCAGCGATGACTAAGACTTTGAGATTGTGGCTTGGGCCTTCTTGTTATATCTCTTTGGCAGTACCAACTTTGCCAATTTGAACAACAAAGTGCATCTCCAATACGTCTCGACCATGAAAGACATGAGAACAATTTAGAATTATGATAGGGGCAGTGCAACACTGGCAATACTCTATGGCTACCTAGGTACTGTTTCTTGGAACAAAACTCGCAGCAAAGGTGGATGCTGATGGGTTTGGGAGGTAAAGGTTTAACAAGCTCTTATTTCCCTCTCTTTGTGACTCATGACGGGACAAATGATGTTTCCCTTTTTGACACAAATTTGGAGCTATAAATGCTTGGGAATGTTAGCTCCCCATAACTCGCATGACAACCCTCACATTATCCCCTGGGGTTCAATCCAAAAAGCACATGGAAAGAAAGGAGGGTGCTTATAATTTTGCGAAATTCAAGAAGTTAACTTTGAACAAGGTATTCCCTTCCCCAATTTTTTTTTTTGATTGGCACCAGGGTGTCGAGATCAAAACCTGACTAATTCCTAGGGGTGCACAGGCCCTCAGCAAAGAAATTTCCGCAAGTGCACCACGATTAATTCAAGGATTTTCCCCTAGTCTGATGGCCCCAAGAAATTTTTAGCACCTAAGAGGTTCTGATCCCTGAACCTTTGAGTGAACACATCCCCAACACCCAAGACCTTACCATTAGGCCAACCCCTTGGAGTTTATTCCCTACCCCAATTTACAAACTAAAAAATAAAAAATAAAATAATTATTTAATTATTTATTTTTCAAGTTGAAGCAAAGATTTTGTCTCATTTTAGGTGAACTTGCATCCTTGGGTGAAAGCTGAGAGGTACATGTCGGGAGACCTACTGAGTAGCAAAGAGCTTGCTACAACGTAGATTTTGTTGAAGGGGCCTTTCTGTAGGGAATGTTGTTTGGGTAAGTGCTTGGTTTGCCAATCTATGGGTTTGGATGAGTTCAAAGTCCTTTCTTCCCTTTGGCATTGATGTGCTTTAGGTGGTGTTTGATAAAGCTAAAAATTGAAAATTGAAAATTGAAAATTAAGTATTGAAAACTAATTGTTGAATATTTTAAGCTGAAAAACTGTTTGATAAAAAATTAAGTGCTGAACTAAAACAAGTTATTTGATATGTACCGAGATTAAATTTGAAATTTATTATTTTTAAATTGTATTTTTCAATTTTTATATTGTGATAGTGAGTTGGTGGTGGTGATGGTGGAGGCGGCAGTGACATTAGCTATGGCACCAATGACAATGGTGGTGGAGATATAGGGATAGTGATTGTGGTGATGGTAGAAGAGTGATGTTATGAAAATAAAAGGGGTTGTGGTGGCACTATAATGATGGTGGTTATGACAATTGTGGCAATGGTTGTGGAGGTGAAGTAGTTGTTGTAGTGGTGGAATAATGACAGTGGTGACTGTGGTTATGATAGTGTGGTAGTGGTAGTGAAATGATGATAGTGCTTATGACAATGATAACAATGGTAATGAAGGTGATGGTAGTAGTAGTGGTAGTGGCGGTGGCATAATGGTAATGGTAATGGTGGTGGTGGTGGTGGTGATAGCGGTAGCAGTGGTAGTGGAGCGTTGGCGGTGGTGGTAGTAAGTTTATAATAGTATATGTCAACACTTATGTTTAGTACTTGTAAATTCAGTTAGAATTAAATTAGTTCCATACCACTTAAAATTTTCTTGACTTTTAACTTACATTTTAAGAGTCACTTAAATTTTTAAGTGATATTAATTGTAGTTATCAAATGAGCTTAATTGATTTTCACTTAATACATTCAGTTTTAAATGCTGAATTAGGTTATCAAACACACCAACTTAAAATGAGTGAATTGGATTGAACTTTGAGTGGATTTCTGGTGAGGGAGTACCTAGGAGATGGCATGGACTATGGCGCTTTTGAAATAAGTTAAAAAACTTATCTAATGTGCCAAAACTATCCCTTGCCAAATCTACCTAGGCTCCCCTAGGATGTAGTCATAACCTAGAGTAGGAAATGGAAGAGATTTGGTTCCACATTCTCAAAGATCAAGGGTTTCCTTCCTGCTAGGCGTAAGACAAGCGAATTCCATGTCCTCATTTTAGCTTGTATTCTTCCATTCCTTGGCTAGTTCACCCCTAAATATATGTACTTTGCAATCATATGAAGATGTGTTACAATTTAATCATCCCTCAAAGCAGTGTTTTTAAACGCTCAAGGCGTACCAAGGCGCTGAAGGTCTCTTGGGGCCTAGGCGCAAGGCGAGACATGGGCTTTATTGAAGCAAGGCGTTAGTAAAAAATAGATAAATTGACATAGACTCATAGATCTAAATATCGGCCGGTACGGTATGTACTGGCCGATTCGTACCAGAAAATCGAAGCACTGATTCGGATATGGACCCGTATAGCGGTGAGAATGAAATTCGCAACCGTAATGTCTGAGTTCCGGTACGTGGCAACCTGAATCCGATACATACCACGATATAGTCCGATACACATTGGTTGTTGCCGGTACGGATGAAAATCAGTGCAGAAAACCTGCAAGATCTAAGCTTCTTTGGGCTGTGGAGTTCACTTTGATCTTCAAGCTTCTTCAAAGACAGTTTGTCCATGAGTTGCAAGTTATAATTTGTGTTTATGCTTTGTTTTTGGTGAGTTGTTGTACTATGCTCAGTTTTTTGGGGAACCGCTGCTGCTATGCTCTGTTTACGTTTTTTTTTCCCTCATTTTTTTGTTTGTTTGTTTATACACCTACACCACACCACTGTTTAGATTAATATATATATATATATATTTCGGTTGAGCAGAGCAAGGGATAAAAAAATAAGAAAAATAAATATTCAAATTAAATCTACCAAAAGCTTGGATTAGTGGAAAGATTTGTTATTGGGTTTTTATTTTTTATTTATTTATTTATTTTTTGGCGCTATGTTTTTGTACTATGTTTTTTTATTTTTATTTTTTTTATTTGTGTCTTGTTCTAGATTTAGAATTTTTTTTTTTTTTTAAAGAGGTTTATTCTAATCAGTTTTTTATTTTTATTTTAAATATATTATTGTTACTAAGTAAATTAGAATTATAATATTTGTCAATTGAAAATTGTTATTGTAGATAATTAAAAGTTATAATTGAGACTAAAATAAATATATATCATTTAGTTGAAAATGAGTCAAAAGTGCTCCTCCATATCAAAATTTTGATGAAAATGTGACAAATTAAGGCTAAAAGAGTCAAAAAAATGCATAAAAGTGAGTTTTAGAGGGATTACTAATGATTTATAAGATTTCACGGCCGCGACACCCGATTCCCGATACGTATCGACCGATACTACCGATACCGATACTCCGCGATCGATACCGTTACGTTACTCGATACCGCGATTTAGAACTATGCATAGACTAATGATTCATAATGTAATGTGTGATATCATAAATTAATTATTTGTAATTTTTTTTTTCTCTAACAAAGACAATGACATAATTGCAAAAAAAAAACACACACACACAAACACAAAGCATGGAAGAGAAGCCCAAAAAAAAAAAATAGAGAAGAAGAAGAAGAAGAAAAATAAATCCTGTTCACTGCTCTCTGCCATACTGATGCTTATACTTGGAGCGGAAAGGATCCTGAAGGTCTTTTTCCATGTATTCTTGGTCATGAAGCTGCTGGGATTGTAGAGAGTGTTGGCGACGGTGTAACTGAAGTTAAGCCTGGAGACCATGTCATACCTTGTTACCAGGCAGAATGTAGGGAATGCAAGTTTTGCAAATCAGGGAAGACAAATTTATGTGGCAAAGTTAGGGCTGCCACTGGAGTTGGAGTCATGATGACTGACCGTAAGAGTCGTTTCTCCGTCAATGGAACTCCCATTTATCATTTTATGGGAACTTCGACATTTAGTCAGTACACTGTTGTCCATGATGTTAGTGTTGCAAAGATTGATCTAAATACCCCCTTGGAGAAAGTGTGCCTTCTTGGTTGTGGTGTTCCCACTGGTCTTGGAGCAGTTTGGAACACAGCAAAGGTAGAACCAGGTTCCATTGTTGCTGTTTTTGGCCTTGGGACTGTTGGCCTTGCAGTGGCAGAGGGCGCGAAATCAGCTGGTGCTTCGCGAATTATTGGTGTCGATATTGACAGCAACAAGTTTGATATAGCAAAGAATTTCGGGGTCACTGAATTCGTAAATCCAAAGGACCATGACAAACCAATACAGCAGGTTATTGTTGATCTTACAGATGGTGGTGTTGACTATAGTTTTGAGTGCATTGGGAATGTCTCTGTAATGAGAGCTGCTTTGGAGTGCTGTCACAAGGGATGGGGTACCTCTGTTATTGTGGGTGTTGCTGCTTCCGGTCAAGAGATATCCACTCGGCCTTCCCAGTTGGTGACTGGCCGTGTTTGGAAAGGAACAACATTTGGTGCAAACACACTGGTCCACCACAACTGGGACCTCATTTTAATCCATGACCTGATCTGAGGCAATCAAGACACCCAATCTCTCTCTCTTCCTTTTGGCAGAATTGAATACCCACTCTCTCTCTCCTATCATACACAGATAAACACATTGTTTTTCTTATCACTTCCTCTCACTCTCTCACAAAATAATACTCCACCTCTCATGGACCCGACAGACCCCAGACTCATTATTATGCTCTCTATTCTCACCTTCTCTCTCTCTTCACTTTATCACATGGGTTTGTTCCTCTCTCTCCTCCGTTTGATTTCCAAATCAATTATTTTTATTTATTTATTTTTTTTTTCCAAATCACTTTTAATCTTTTTTAAATACCCACTTTGATTTCCAAATCAATTATTTTTATTTATTTATTTTTTTTTCAAATCACTTTTAATCTTTTTTAAATACCCACTTTTATTATATAATCAACATATCCATTATTCATTTCCCCACTCAAATATCTTATACTAGCCTTCATTGATTCCACCGGATTCCAACACTTTATTTTATATCTTATTCTTATTATTATTTTCAAAAAAAAAAAAAAAAACACAAAAACTACATTCATTCTAGTTGATTTTTCTGCATTACCACACCTACCTTTCGAGTTTGCACAACACACTTGCTTTATTCATATCAGGGATTTACCCCACTCACCATTCTCCACACACAAAAAAAAAAAAAATCAAAAAAAAAAAAAAAAAAAAAATCAAACAAACAAACAAACCAAAACGCAACAAGAAAAGATTTGTTTTCTTTGCTGCTAAAAAAAAACACAAAACAAAACAAAACACAACCAACACAAATCGGAACAGTGGGATTTTTCTTCTCGCCTATTCTGCCGGTCTTTTCTTCTTGCCACCGTCTTGGGCGGCCCTTGCCGGTGTTGCCTCCGTGTTTCCCACTCCACTGGGCATGATCACTACTCCCTGCTCCTCCACTGCAGCATATGGCGGCCCTCCAAATCGGAACATAAAACTGGCCTTCCGTTTCAGCTTCTTGTTTTCCGCCTTTAGCACACTTATCTCTGCTCGCGCATCCTTATACATGCGTTGGAGCAGAGCCAGTTGGGCGTTTAACTGCTGCACCTCATTTGTCCTACTCTGAAGCCGGTGCAACAAGTTTGTGACCGCCGTCATGGTTTCCACACATGACTTCAATGTATACTGATTGGCTTCAATATCCGTTTGCACTGCCATTTTTTGCTCCACAGACCGCATAGGAAAGTTCAATGGAGCAAACCCTGGGGCGCTTGGTTGAGGTTCCAGGGCCACCGCCCCAGTTATTTCTCTTGTGGACTCGTTGAGGTCTGGAAAGAGAGTGAGCAGACCACGAGAAGAAGAGGCCATGTTTTGGGTTGCTGAGTGTTTCAGAGCAGGGTTGGTTACAGAGTGTTTCAAGATTTGCAGCTCTTAGAGACAAGCTCTCAGAAAACGAAGAGGTTTCAACTGGTTTGTTATGCTTCCAAGTCTCAGCCTCCGCTTCGGTTTATAAAGACCATGACGAAGAGGCCGACACGCGCTCTGTCGATCACGTGCCTCGTCGCGTGTCTGGCACGCCTTTTGATGGCTTGCCGCTCGATGATTTCTGTCGGGCACGACTTTTGATGCAGTGGGCGCGCCTTTTGAGGGCGCGACTTTTGAGGGCTCGATATATATATCTATGTATATATATTTGGGCAGCCTCTATACACCTTCATACAGTGTATTTTCCAACGGTCCGACATGACCCCATAAACTGTCCCGACATTGATTCCGGTTAGCTTTTTCAACGGTCCGACATGACCGCATAAAACTGTCCCGACATTGATTCCGGTTAGCTTCTCCATCGGTCCGGTGTGACCTCGTCAACTGTCCAGACTTTATCTGCTACAACGGTCTGCCACAACCATACAGTGTCCTCTACAACGTTATGACACCACCATACAGTGTCCTCTACAACGTTATGACACCACCATACAGTGTCTTCACCAACGGTCTGACACGACCATACAGTGTCTCCTATCCTCTTTTATTTTATGTATTTTCTTATTTTGTTACTCTCTCCAAACTCAAGTTGGTTAGTTCTTATCCCCCTTGAGTTTGCGGGGGGCTGTTAAAACTTCACCTACTCCATTACACCTACTCCACCCACTTCACCTACTACATCTCCTATATAAAGAGCACCTCACCATTTGTAATTCATAACAATCAATCAATCAATAATACATCAATTCTTACAGTTATAATTGAGACTAAAATAAATATATATCATTTAGTTGAAAATGAGTCAAAAGTGCTCCTACATATCAAAATTTTGATTAAAATGTGACAAATTAAGGCTAAAAGAGAAAAAAAAATGCATAAAATTGAGTTTTAGAGGGATTGCTAATGATTTATAAGATTTCACGGCCGCGACACCTGATTCCCGATACGTATCGGCCGATACTACCGATACCGATACTCCGCAATCGATACCGTTACGTTACTCGATAGCGACTTAGAACTATGCATAGACTAATGATTCATAATGTAATGTGTGATATCATAAATTAATTATTTGTAATTTTTTTTTTTTTCTAACAAAGACAATGACATAATTGCAAAAAAAAAACACACACACAAACATGGAAAAGAAGCCACCCCCTTATTGAGTCGAAGAAGCAGGAAAAAAAAAATAGAGAGCAAAGAAGAAGAAGAAGAGAGAGAGAGAGAGAGAGAAACTGAGTTGAAGAGGCAGGAAAAACAAACAGAGAGCGAAGAAGAAGAAGAAGAAGAAGAAGAAAGAGAGAGAGAGTTGAGACTCGAAGTCGAAGAAACAAAAGAAAAAAAAAAAACAGAGAGCAAAGTCGAAGAAGATGAAGAACTCAGAGTTGTAATCCTTTGTAATTTGAGCCTTTAAAAGCACGATTTGAGCCATTAGATTCATTCAGAGATCCAAAAACAAAACTCGTGCCTAGGCGTGCGACTTGCGCCTTTTCTCGCCTCGACAAGTCACGCATAAAGAGCACGCCTTTTTCAAGTTGCCTCGCCTTGGGTACCTGCAGGCGCAACTGTTATGCCTAACTGCGCCTTGCACCTAGACGCGCCTTTCACAACACTACCTCAAAGATTGAACCACCATTCAAGATAGCCCGAGTTGATGATACAATCTCCCACTTCCTATTCTAGCACTCAAACTGTGTGAGTTGCTAAAAAGGTGAGTTCATCACCTTTGTATGTTTTTGCATGCCCTGCTTATGCACTAATAGCTGTTAACATTTCTCTAGACCACTAATGAGGGGTGGTTAGATGGAGTTCCCCCTCATGCCCCTAGCACAACCTACAAATGAGTGCCCACCTCTAGCACATTCATGGAAAAGAAGCCAAGCACTACAAAATCCGATGATGCATTTCATCCTTCCTTGAGATGCCCAAGCAAAAATAAATAAATAAGTGAAGCGTGTGTCCCTCCTTCCCTCCCTCCCTGATATGCATTTATTAATGTTAGTCCCATTACCTCGTACTTAGAGTGAGAAAATAAAGTAACAATTTGAGATTATAGATGACATTTTACTTTTCTTAATATTCTTAATGCATGTTCTACTCCTAGTTGTTATTGGGACCAAAAGGTTCTCAATTAAAAGACTACTAAGTGTAATCAATGAAGGGAATAAATAAGTGAAGCGTGTGTTCCTCTCTCTCTCTCTCTCTTTCTCTAGCACATGCCTTCGAATGTTTTTGAAAATCTATTCTTTTTTGCTTAGGCATGATGCATGTTTGTATTTGATTTTCAAAATTTTGGTTGAGTCGTGATTTGCGTAAGGATTGGTTCAAGACATCAAACGGATGAGTATGTGCTCATTTAGGGAAAATGGATCATCAAAAACTGAAGAAAACATTGCATAGTGTTACATCAAGTAGTGCACGCTACATGATGGAGCCATAGAATGGCTTGGTGCCATTTGATGTGCCCATTGAATGTTATGGCGCCATTCAGTGTCTGGGGTCCTAATTTTGCAACAAATTGCCAATCTTGGTTTCCAAAGCTTTGTGTAAAACACCATTTTCCTGTGGAGAACTTTGTCCTACCATTAAAGAAGTTTAATGTTGGAGTGCACTCCTCTTGACTCAGTAATTCTTCCCATTCCCCTATTGAACCATGCTAAACCTACTAATGAAACTCAATAGATTGGGTAAAAAAAGGGACTTGGTCTTTTATGCATGTCGGTGAGTTGTTTGTTTTCTTGAAGCTCATAGACAAGTTATGTCCTCTAGCTGTTCTTTTTGATTTCCCTTACCAAAACACTATTGTCAAAATGCCTTACGTATGTGCTTGCTTGCACATTTTTGACTGGTTCCTAGGGGTAGACATACACTAGGCTAGGCTTGCACTATATAGTAAGAGCATATGTGTCATCCCAAACCCAGCCTACCCCGACATTGGGTCCAATCTAGCCATCCCAAGCCCAACTCTAAAGAAATGTCTAAATCCCAAACCTATCCACTTAACCCAATAAACATGAACTCTTTTTTTTTTTTTTTTCAATTTTTTTTTTTTTAAATTTTGTCTTGAAGAATTATTAAATTATTTAAACCATTTTAATAATTATTTGAATTTGGAACATTAACAAAATTCAATTGTAAAATTAACATGGTCTTTTAACAAATGTTTTAATTTAAGCTCTAGAAAGAAACATATTTACACTTTTCTTTTATCTTTTTATTATTTTTCTAATTTATTTGTAACTAAATAATATAAAAAATAAAATTAATATTCTATAAATGGGTGGGCTTGGCTAGGTTGGGCTATAAAACTCCTTATCCCATGCCCAGCCCAAAAATTATCTCAGTCTAGCTGGCCTTATGGGCTAAATATTTTTCTCAAGCCCTAAAAATATTGGGATGGGCTGGGCAGGTTGGGTAGGCCATCGGTTCCATGGCCACCCCTAGTGATGGTATAGTGAGCACTGCGATTATGCGATTATGGACATAGCAGGGCAAATGGAAGATATGAAGAACTCTAGTGATGGTATAGTGAGCACTGAAACATTGCTTGGCTTACACATAAAAGGCAACTTTATTTATTTATGTATTTTTCCTGACTTTGCTCCTGTTCGATTTCAGATGTAGTTGCTTGACAAGGTTAAACATCTGGAGAGGCCATTAGTGAATAATTACATAGTGATACATTATCTCAGCCGCAAGCTTCTTCACCAATTAGGACTTGAAGGGGGCTAGAATGATTGGTTATGTCCCATGACTGGCAAAGAAATCTATTAATGTTGCCTCTGGTGGAATGTTCCTGATATGACTGTTAGATCCATGGGTCATAACAAGGTTTTTATTGTCTTCGGATGATCACTGTTTACCTTCCTACACAAATCCTTCAGCAATTTAGTGAGAACCAAGTGGTGGCACTTGGTAGCCGGGATAATCCTTCTCCTTCCTCAATACAAAGCCAATTTTCCAAAGAGGTACTAGAAAGCTTGGACATCTCGCGAGAAGAAGGTTTCCAAGGAGAAACTCAAAAAGAAACTTTACAAAGAGTACAAACAATGGTTGATTGATGAAATATCTTTCAGAGCAAGAAAAAGGAGTGAACCATCTTAACAAAAGAGAAAAACCTGATTTTTCTTGTCTCTATTGTGCACTTAGTAAATATATGTTCCTTAAGATTCGTTTGACTAATTGACTTTTGTATAAGTTAAAAATAGTGCCTTTCTTACAATGGTTTCGAAACAATGTCAATAAATTCAGGTATTGAAAATTCTCTTAGTTCCATGATTGTTTCTCCTATCTTATTGATTCACATTCATCACTAATTGCTACCCATTGTCAGGTTTAAAGAAATTTCTGGTGGTTCCCATTAATGCCATTGCCAAGAAAACAAACACAAAGGGCCAAAAGGCTAAGGTTGGGTCAAACCTCGGATAGAGGCTGCCTAAGTATCCTGAAAAGGGAATCACATGCTATTACAGTGTCCATGTTTCTTAGAATATGACCAAGAAACTATAATGTTAGTTGTGCCTATTTCTTATACAGATCTCTTCCACAATTCTTGCCAGAGGAAGCAACCACTTTTGGAAAGTGGCAAGGCAATGACTTGCATGACATGACTCATGAGCTTAGTCCTACATGCTAGGATCCATGGCAAATGAGATCCCAATTATGTGATCATGATTCACCTACAAGAGTTGTATGGTGAGAGAAGTCACACTGCTAGGTATAACACATCATCAAAAAAATTTGTTGCACTGAGCTTTGCTTTTATGTTGGAGTGAAAGATTGCTGCTCCAAAATAATATAGGCTAGACTTAAGCAAATATACAAAATTTCTTTAGAAGACTACTCATTTTTTAGCCAATTACATCACAATCATGTCTCTTGAAAGCCTTCACCATTAGTTCCATTTGCCAACAAATGCACTCATCCTCAAATTGACCAATGATGGAGACTGAATTGGCATGCAGACATCCACCCTTTAACAGATGATTATGTGATTTTTTTCTTCTCTAACAAGATAGTGTGGAGGTCCAAAAATCAGCAGGCAATAGCACAACTAAGCACTGAGGTTGAATAATGACTCTTGAGCATGCAACAACAGAATTTATGCCGACTCCTTGTATTCACAAGATATATTACTATGTACCATGTCAACCTCCTAACATGGGATTCCCCATACAATCATGTCGCTTAGCCCCCTTCTCCTCCGTTTAACAGTTTCCAGCCTGGCTTTCCCATAGTTGAACTATAATAACTAGCAATCCATGAAGCAGCCTGACCTCCTCTGATCGCATATTTTGACTACGCAAGATCGAGGCTTTTAGTTTGTTGCTTATCAAGTTTGTCACTTCAGACCAACAACTTGACGACATTTGTAGAAAGATTTCACCGAAGTGGGAAGTTTGACTTCCACTTGCTAGGCAAATTCCTCCACAAAAAACACTCTAGCTAGGAGAAGAAAGCGCTAGGCGGTGTAAAAAAATTACAGTTTAGAATAAAGTCTATATAATCTGACAAAGTTACTATCAAACCTTGGGTCTAAAATTCATTAGTATAACCATCTCTGAAGTAAGCAAATCAAATTTCATAGTATAGGCTGACAAACTCAATTATGTAAGTAATTTAGGGCACCTTTGATTGCATGATTTGTTTGCTCCATTTTGAATTAACTAATTCAAGTTTCATGAATTATAAAACTAATTAAGAACTTGGGTAGGTGTTGAACAAAACAGATCGAATCTTGAAATTTTACATTATGTAATTCAATTTTTTTTTAAGAAATGAACAAGTTAAAAATATAAACAAATAAAAAGTGTAAATCTATAGATTTTTAAGTTGTTTTGCAACTGAACATTATGTAATTATCTAATTTGTTTATAAGCCAATTCTAAAATGGCCCAATTTACATTAATGAGACCCCCATCCAGTGGAGACTAAACTGGACATTTTAAGGTTTCATCAATTCAGATGACCTCTAATTTTTATTTTATTTTATTTATTTATTTATTTTTCATTCATCTGTTTTTCATATCTATTAGAGCATGCAGTCAAAGAAGAGTCTAGTGTAGAGCTGGAATGTAGGTTGTAACATTCAAACATAAATTAAATTATTTTTCCATATAAAACAGTATATCATACCATTTCAAGTTCTTGAGCCATCAAAATACAAGGGCCACACCATGTCGCATAGAAATCGATAATAAGTGGTACATTTCTCTCTCCCTTCACCAGCTCTTGAACCTCCTTGGAAGATAACTTCTTCTGCCAGACCAAACCAAACCAACAAGAAATACAACAGAACCATAATTTTGTTTTCCACAATATAGCACATAAGAGAACTAACAGAGTCAAAACATCAAACCACAAGACCAACATTCCTACTTAATTTCAGGGATATTTTTAATTTTTTTAATTTTTTAAAATCTTTTCCCCGTTTGGTTGCACTGGAAATGGATAGCAAGCAGAAATTACATAATTTGGGACTCATATATTTTCTGTTGTTCTTATTTCTCAAATGTATAACAAGCCCCAGCTAAGACTAAATTTGAACCTGATCTTCTGGGGTGCTCAGCAATGAAGAACAAAAGACTTAAAAACAATCAAAAAATTGAATCCTTTCCACCATTTTCTCAGCAACCAAATAGAGATAAGTACCAAAATCCAAAACAAATAAGCAGTAGAAGAAAGTAAGACTAGGTGAAACAAGTTTTGATGGGCAATAGTAGTGGAAGCATACTTACTATATATATATATAAAGTATATAAATTTATCTTAAAGAAAGAAGAACAAAAACAGAAAACAAAATTGCATACCACAAGATAGTCTTGCCTGACATAGTTGGCTGATGGGGGTTGGCAGAGAAACTTTCTAGGTTGTGGCGGTGAAGCTGGTCCTGATAGCAAAGAGGGCATGGCCGTGGTGAAGCTGCTGGGGAAAACCAAGTGATTCTGATGGATTTTCAAGGGAAAATGTGAGAGGCAAAGCGGGGATTGTGGTGGCGCACGGGTGGACAAGATTGAACAGACTGCTTGCATTGTAGCCAAATTAGAGAGAGAGACGGAGAGAGAGAGAGAGAGGCAAAAGGACCGAGGAGTCGGAACAATTAAGACTGTCCTAATCTATCCATTCAATTCACACCAGTGCCTGGGCCGCCGTGGGAGACTGTTGGCTTCACTGGAAGGACATCACCGATAACTTCAAATAAATAAATAAATAAATTTAAATTTAAAACTACAACCAAACAAACCAATTTCATTTTACTTCTTCTAATTTGGGCCATATATGGCTTCTTTTTAATTTGGGCCATATATGACTTTCGTTTGGAAAGTGAATTGACTTTTTGACTTTTTAATTTTTTTAACTATTTTAATTTAAGCTAAAAAATTTGATTTGAGAAGGATTTTTTGTTTTTTTGACTTTTTTTGTGAGAGAAGAGTGCAATGATTATGGGTTGGATGTGATGTTTTGTTTGTTGTAACTAAAATAACTTATTTTGTCTTTTGTGGTTAAAATAGCCAAAAAAAACTCTTGCCAAACGGAGCCCATGGTTTATTCCCTAATATTTAAAAATAAAATGCTACTATTAGTATCTTATTAATTATTTTGAATTCTCATTTTTTAAATTTTTTTATTACAATAATAATATTCAAGTAAAATTACCAAAAAGAATATTAATAATTTTGGAACATTCTATCTCACAATTAAACTTATATAGCCATTATATCATAAGTTAGGATTTATAAAAGTACCCACCTCCATCACCACCCATCCATCTTCCCCAAATCCTATCTTAAAAATTCCTTTTGAATTTCGTATTCTATAGTTTTATATTTTTGTATGACTAATTTATCCCTACATTAGAGAAATTTTAGTCAGAGAAAATATCTCTACCAAGTCAGAGAAATTTCAATCAAATAAATTTTCAATTAGAGAAATTTCCGATCAATGAAATTTCTGAAAATTTCTCTAGCTTGGGTGACTGAAATGTGATTTTTTATTTTTTTGAATTTCATATTCATCATAGATTTTATTTGAAAGATCTTGATTAGAGAATACGAAAAATATAAATTTTATAAAAATGGATATGTAAATCAACACTTATTGAATTTTAAAGTTTTTAAATCATTCCACAACAAATCAACATCTTTAGATTTTTTAGTGTGGGGTATTTTGGTCCAAGAATAATCTCCACAAATTTAGATGACTTGAACTACGAAATATTTTTTCTTTCTCCTTGTACTAGTAAAACTTTTTAACGAGAGAGCTCTAACTAAAATTCCTTTTTTTAATTAGTTTTTTAGATGTACTTAATTTAAATATATTTAAAAAAACAATAATTTTTTTTGAAAAATTTAATTTTTTTAATAAATAAAAACGATATGAAAATGAAAAAAAAGAAGAAGGAAATGTACTTTTTTTGTATTTTTTTCAGATTTTATTTATTTTTTTGTTTATAAATATGCTTAATTGTAAGTGCATTGAGATTAAGTGAATTTAAAAAGTTTTAAGAAATATATTATTGACTAAAAATATTGAAAATACAAAAATACAAAAAAATAAATAAAAAGTTAAAAACAGAGTTTTGAATTTCAAAACCAAATGAAGTGTGTGCCCCCGTTACTTACCTGCGGGTGTATGCTAGTCCGTTTGGATTGACCTTTACATAAATTTATCTATTGGGAAATGGGTTGGGTTTCGGACTCGGGTTTGGACGCCTATGGTGGCATGACACATGATCTATGTAAGATCCATCTGAATTTAAGTTTGAATTTAAATTCAAAACTATCCTAAGAGATAAGGATAATTTACAATCTCATCTTATTTGGTATAAGGATATGTGGTTACCTATCTCTTTATATATTGATCATATCAATATACATATTATTTATGGAGTGAAAAAGGGGAAGCAAAACGTAATATTGTGAGGGTAAAATATTTGAGTGCTTTCAATCTCTGCCATTGAAGAACAAAACACAAGCCTTTGTACTGTGAGTTATATGGGTGTTGCTCACATTGTAGTATCACACCACTGCTAGGATTTTAATAAATGATTCGGAGGCATGTGATGCACTCATCAGGTTTAGTCTTTTTGGATTCGAGATATTCAAGTATGGATTTAATCTATTAATTCGTTGCGTATAGATATTCCTACATTGGTATCAGAGCCATCTTAAGTGTTTTCTTTGTTTTTTATGTATGAAATACAATTTAAACCATATATATAATCATAAAAATATGTATATCTGTGTTTCATGTAAGAAAATTGATAATTTTCAAACTATCTCCGATCATCTTTAAATTCATATATGTTACAGTTCATATCATGTAGAGTATATCTACAAAGTTTCATTAAAATCAGATAAGGTTGCAAATAAACCGAGCCGAGCCGAGCCGAGCTTTATTGAGCTCGAGCTCGGCTTGTTTGCTTGTTGAGCTGCTTTATTGTGATAACTCTGTTCTTTGTTATGCTAATTGATCTTAATTATGATTGTAATTATATGTTAATGTGATTTTGAGTGCCATTTATATGATTATATGTGGTTTTGAATTTTTATCTGTTCACCGTAGGAAAATCTGTTTGAATTTCTGCTTAAGAATTTTAATTGAAGGCCTTATCGACCTCAGGAACCGAAATTGACTACCCCATTGTGATTAGCATAATTTTTAGTGCCTATGGTGAAATTTAATTAAAAATTTATTCGGATCAAAATAATTAGATTCAGAATGATTAATTAAGCTCAATTACTAGCCTTAATCAATTTGCTTAGGCCAACATGTATAAGTGGCCTATTTACACTTATGGGCTTTGTTTATGAGTTCATTTTCTCTCCTCTGGTTGAGATTACACTCTAGAGAGAGGGAGAGTGCCGAATTTAGGGAGAGAGGAAACTCAAGATAGAGAATTGATCAAGGAGCTTAGTGATCTTGAAGATTAACTCAAGAATTAACTATAATTTGGAAGATTTGAGCCTCTAGGTGAGTAATTGAGCATATACTTGTAAGTTTGAGTTTGTAATTTTGTGAATTCAAAGTTAGATGGCAATGGAAAACATAATTTGAGATGAATTTGGAGCTTGTATGTATATGCATGTGCATAATTGCCATGATTTTATATATTCAAGCATGAATCATGTTGAACAAGAAGAATTGAGCACCAAATCTCACACGCATGCATAATTTTCATGAGTTTCATGATTATAAGTGTCATTTGTACCACTTGGAATAGAATTGGAGTTAAAAATTTACATGCATGCATGATTGATGAAGATATGGAGTTTGTATGAAGTAGAATGCATGTGTTTTGAAACCTATGAAGAGAACTCAAAATGATTTTGGAAAAGGACCATGAATTTGAACAATTGGTCTCATATACTTATGTTCTCATATTATGTAATGTGTTTCTATGAATTTGTGTCCAAAACTTGAGTTTTTAACCCTTGGACATTGAGTTTGAACTTCAAGGACAATTCTAGAAATTCCAAAATTCAGCATGTCCGCTCAAGCGGGGGAAACGCCGCTCGAGCGCGAAATGTTAGCTTTCAGAACTTTTGCAGACATTGATGTCAGCTCGAGCGGGAGTAGTTACGCTCGAGTGTCTGTGCACGTATTTTAACCCTCAGCTCGAGTGTCCAAAGTTGAGCTCGAGCGCAAAAATGAGGTAACCAGTACTTTTGCAAACCAAAGGGGCCTGCTCAAGCTTCGAAATATGCGCTCGAGCGGGAAGTCCTGTTTCAGAAATTTTATAATAGTATTGTATGGCTTATATTCCGTTCTCTTTCACTTCTAAGCACTCTTAGGCATGCATTGAGCATTGTGAATGAATTAAGAAGATAAGAAAGAGGGCTAGGAGGAACGAATAGATTAAGAACGGATTGAGTTGCTTGTGACCCATTGTGTGTTATGATTTATGTAGGGTCGAGCACAAGGGCGAATCCTCCGACAAAACACTGTGAGTAATATCATAGTAAAGATATTTTGAAGTATGCTATTTGTCTAATCGCTTACTTCTATTTGAGTTTCATAAATCTGTTAAATTGAATCATGGACAAATATTCGTTATGCTGCATGATTGGGCTAAAGGCCGTTGGATATGAATGATTAGGCCAAAGGTCGTTTAATATGATTGATTAGGCCAAAGGCTGTCGGACATGAATGATTGGGCCAAAGGCCGTCGGACAAGAATGATTGGGCCAAAGGTCGTCAGACATGACTGAATTGGGCCCGAGGCGGTTTGATACGAATGATTGGGCCAAAGGCCATCGGATATGACTGAACTGGGCCCGAGGCCGTTTGATACGTTTGGATATGTAGCCGTTTGATACACTAGATAGAAACATGAATTGGGCCCAAGGCCGTCTGATGTTTCTGTTTCAAACTTCATTCATGTATCTCCTTTATTTGATATTATTCACTAGGCTTTCGCTCACTCTCATTCATGTGTCTATAGGTGAGCCAAGAGATGTCCAAACCCAGCCTCAGTGAAGTATGTGAGAAACACACGAAGTTTTGGAGAGTCAACCCTAACGTCTCACGCGCGAGACTTGTTTTTGCCCTTTTGTTCTTTTGTTATATTTTTGTTTATGTTGGCGAAAACGTTGAATTACTTTTGTATATAAGTTTTGTTTAGCTGACTGCATAACTGAAAATTCTTGGACATAGATTAACTCTATGAGTATGTGTGAGTTATTATGAAATACTTTTGGAGTGATTTTGCTATACCATGTAAGCACAACTCTATGGACAATTTGTAAGTTTGCTTCCGTTTTGGCCCTTCAACTCTGATGAAATATGTTTTATTTGGTTTGAGGTCGTAGGTAATCCCTTGATTACTGGCCGGTTATGACCTTAATCCATAGGGGCGGGTTTGGGTCATGACACTTGGAGTTTAACAATCTCTTAGTAGTTCTAATCATTTCATCATTATTGCCAACGGTTCGGGTCATGACAGAGTGGTATCAGAGCACGAGTTAATAACTCACTCACTTGTCCAAATGAGCAATAGGCATCTAGAAAAGATTTAGGATGCATTCATGTGATAAGTATGAATCTGAAAACATCAAGAATGTGCTTAAATGCTTCAAGATGAATGATTATATGCTATGTGCTTGCGATTTACTTGCATTACGAATTGCTTGAATATGCATGCTTTTTGGTAAATGTATACTTGTGAACCTTTTGTATAAAGAATAATGCA